TATATTTAATATATAAACAAAATTTTTCTTAAATATATACATGCATGTGTTTATATATATATATATATATATATATAAAATTAATTTTGACAGCACTAATTAAAATACATGGAGAACGTTAATAAATATCTTTCAATCTCTCCACCCCCCTCTATCTATTTTATATATTGTTTATATATAAAACAATACATAGACTGACTTTTTAAATAACTTTTTTTACAATATATTTTAATATTTATGCTATTTAAATGTTTGTAAAGATTTCACACAAAGTATTTGCTAATATTCATGATTTGTTAATATTTATTTTTTTATATAAAAACAATGTCAGAGATCATTATATATTGACTTTTTCAATAAACATTTAATAATATATATTAATATTTTCCCAAGTTCAATTTTTGTAAATATTTTATATAAATAATACCCAAATATTGGTTAATATTTATTTTTAATTTATAAATAAATAAATAAATACATAAACAAATTATTTAATTTTATTTAAATGTAAAAACAAAGACTTTATAACAGATTGACAAGGCTGTCAGTAGAATTTAGAATTTTGTTCAGCCAAGTGGAAACTTATCGATGCCCAAAACCCAAATATTGGTTAATATTTATTTTTAATTTATAAATAAATAAATAAATACATAAACAAATTATTTAATTTTATTTAAATGTAAAAACAAAGACTTTATAACAGATTGACAAGGCTGTCAGTAGAATTTAGAATTTTGTTCAGCCAAGTGGAAACTTATCGGATGATGCCCAAAATATCAAAATGATTAACGTCATCCTGCCTGACAGATTTTCAATAACTATGGTAAATCATGGTAACAATAAAGATTTCTTGAAGTATGCAAGAATTAATCTGCAAGAATATAAACTAGCAAAAATCACAAACACAATGGTTTTCAAAGGCAGCAAAGCTTTGTGTTGTGTACACAGACGCTTGGATGAGCATTACACTCAGTGCTGCAATCAATGTGATGCATGCGCAGTAGCCAGGTGTCACCAGTGTTCGCCACACTGGGGTGCTCTCCTCTTTAAACAGGGTATGATGGGGATCATAACAAACCTCTAATTCACTGTTGACCCACCTCTATTCATAGTGACAGCAGCTTGTGTCTTAACAAACCCACAGAACAGGCTGAAAATAGACTCACACAGCAAAATAAATGCCCAAGCCTGAGGGGACTAAGTGTATCCATGTCTAATCTGGTTACGTATGCCAGCCGGACACAGCTGCCCGCTGCCAGAGCCTGGCGTGTGAGAAAAGCAGCTCAGTGACAGCTCTGAGGAACTGCTCCCTTCCTGCCAGACTCTCTGGGCTGTGCTCCAAATGGACATCCTACATGAGGTGTGCTACTAAGACATCTGAGGAGACACAAATTAGAGGGTGACACAGGAATGGATTTTCAAACCTCTCCCATCCCACTCCCACAAAAAAAAAATCCCATCCCATCCCAATCCCACGAAAAAACTGGGGGAAAATCCCGTCCCGTCCCAATCCCAGAAGAATGATTCCCATTCCCTCCCACTCCCGTGTTGTGTTTTTTTGGCCGGAATCTGTCAGTTACAGTAAAAATACAGTACAGATCACAGCATGCCCACCTTAGTTGAATAAAAATCCAAAATGTAGTTTTTTGTTATTTTATTGAACTGAAAGCCAGCTTAAACAATGAACAGTGTGCATTGCACACACATAAAATTTCATGTAAATCATCCATGCGAACACACACACGTTTTCTATTTGAATTGGTTCATTTGAAAGTAGACATTTCACTCTCTATATATTTTTCATACACTGAGTTTCGAAGTTTCTCGCTCAAGTTCAGAGACCGAGACGGCAGAAAGCGCATCCTGTTTGCTTGAATTATTTTAGTAACGTTTCATTGCTATTCTGAGTGCACACAAATAAACGTAGAGTCTTTACAGATTCAAAAGATGTATTACTCTTATCTGTATGACCAAAAATTACGGAGTATTTTAAGAGCAAGTGAGCGCACCGGCGCCTCCATCTGTCCTGCAGTGAGCGTGCTACTGTTCAGCTTCCACACTCTGCACGGACACTTGAACAGTGCACATTTCTCTAGGCTAACATTAGATTGAGCAGCCATGTAAAGTTGCTACTACATATATCTTTCAGATGAAAAGCCATATTTGAGGTCGATGAATGACAGGCGAGCGTTTGGATGTCCTGCCCGATGTACTATATTACCACATAGACCAGCCATTAACGATCTGTCCGTCATGGACTGCGTACGTCATTCACTTAAACAGCCACACCAAAGCAAACAGGAGGAGAGCATAAAGAGACAGGGCAACTAGAATGAAGTTCAAAATTAAAATATACAGTTTATTTATATAAAAGGTATATTTGTGTATAAAGTTGGGTATCATAGTGTTATTACGATTCCCGGTCCCGCCCACTCCAGCTGACATTTTTTCCTGTCCCGTCCCAATCACGGAATTAATAGTGATTTTGTTTCCCATCCCGCGGGATTCCCGAAAAAATGTCAGCCTCTAGTGCAAATCCACAACAACTTTATCATATTTATTAGGGATGTAACGATTAAACGCGAGCCGGTTGAAAATCGATTCAAATATGTGACGATTCAAATCGGTTGAGATGCTAAACAAATCGCGATTCATTTAGGTGTAGGAGTTTATATGAATGCATGTCTGAGGGGAACTTACTGTCTTTAATGTACTTTTAAAATTAAACAAACTGCCAGCAGGTGGCGGTAAGTCACTGATTTTTATTACTGAATCATTCATTCAATTGATTCATTCGAACAGCTGATCATTCAGGAATGAATCAAGTGACTGTCTTTATGAATGGGTAATCATGAATCACTGACTCACTAGAACTCACTTTTTCGTTTAAAAAAAAAGTTCATTCATAAACACACTAGCTTTCTATTTTTTTCTATTCTATCTACTTGTTTTTCTTTGTTTGTGTGTGTGTGTGTATAATGTGTGTATGTATGTGTGTGTGTGTATATATATATATATACATATATATATATATATATATATACATACACACCTTGCTACGTGTACTGCGTTAGGCTAACCGAGACTTGTCATTTGCACTTATATATTGTTGCTCTTTTGTTAGTTTTGACTGCTTTTATTGTCCTCATTTGTAAGTCGCTTTGGATAAAAGCGTCTGCTAAATGACTAAATGTAAATGTAAATGTAAATGTGAAAGAGGAAAATGTTTACACACTTCAGCTGGATGTGTCACTGGAAATATAAAAGAAGGTGACTTAAAAATATGAAAGAAGCATAAGTGCTGCATCTTGGCTTGATGCAAAATACACCTGTGGCATCTGAGCTGCGTCTAAATTCATGACTGCCATCATACAGTACTGAATGAAACAATATTGCAGGCAACTTTGGATTGGTTATGACGGCAGCGAATGCATTTCACCCGTGCTACGGGGTTGTTCTTACCTTACACGGAAACGGCAGATTAGATGCAACTTTTTCCATTGCCAAGTTCCTTATGCTCGGCGTGAGAGGGCCCCGACAAGTTGGACAACAGCTGAGCTTTTGCCGACACTGGTTACACACCAGATGCCCAGCCTGGCACTGCAAGATCGGGGGCAGCACGTAGTCGAAACACACCGGACACTCAAATAGCGCTGTCAGTTCGGCTGACTGTCCCGGTAGGGCAGCGACTGGAAGGGCTACAGCGGCCGCGGGGACCGTACCAGAGCCCGCGACAGAGCCGGATACCCCCGCGGCGGCTGCTGCTGCTGCTGCTGCGACGACGGCGGCGGCGGCGGCGGCGGCAGCAGCAGAGGCGGTTGTTCCTCCAGAGCCTCCATGCTTACTTCCTCCTGCTTTACCAGCTCCGAGTCCTCCGGCCGCACCACCTGCAGAGGACGGACGGCTCATGGCGAGGAGTGTAGATCTCTAACGGTGTAAAACCCAAACGAGTTCAAACCAGAGAGCGCCACCGTATACTCCCGACTGAAGACAGACTCGGTTCCGAACAGCCTCCAGTCCCCCGCGGATACAACATGGCCGCCATAGTTTGAGAGCGAGTAACGAGTCTATTGGATGAAGGGGCTTTGATTGACACTCTCCTCAGCCAATCACAGAGCCGCTCTTGACGTTTACGTAAGAGTCGCTGGAATATGTAGTAATTACGTGAGTGGCTGTAGTGAAGTAAACCGCAAACAGTTGCACTGTGGCCCTTCAACACGACCAAGGATGTTTCACCGTTCTATGCAATCAGAGGAGACTGTTGCATTTATAAGCCTCAAACCATTTTTTTTACTAAACAGAATGAGTTATGTGGATTAGGTTTAAATAAAGTTTTTACAGGGCTATTAAGTGGAACGAGACATAAAAGGAACACATGAATAACATTATATTATCATGGTTATATTTAATACCTCTAATAAACCCCCTCTATTCTGGTTCAGTGAATAATTTTTTCACTTCATGCTTGAGATGGACAGAAGAAATGTATGCACAAACAAAATGGATAAACTACATTACAATTAGCTGTTTTCTCACTCTTTTCATACATTCTTAAACTTCATACATTTACATTTTGAAATACACATTAATATATGTACATCTGATGTTATTTGTTCTCTGTAAATAAAAGAATATAAAAGTGTATTGCTTCCACCATGCTCTACCATTTGAGCTACATATACACCTTTGTTAACTTGCTATAAATGTACACTTAACCATTTAACAATTTTAATTTCAGAAACTGTGTAAATCTCATTTGCTGTGTCTAAATCATACATCTATATATTCTCCATACATCATCAGGACTGATCATTGACTATACCATATCAGATGACCAGAAGCATGGACATGCAAGAAGAGTGTCTAAATATTCAATATTTAATATAGTTTTCATAACTGCATTATAGTAGTATTAATATTTAAGTAGTATCAATATTTATTCCTGGAGTAAAAGCACACCGATCTCTCCCTGTCTAACCAGCTCCCTCTGCTGGCATTTCATTGATTTATTTTAAAATTCACTATATATAATTATTATAATTATATAAATTACATTTTATTTATACCTAATAATATTTTCAAATAATGAAGGTATTTATGAAATTATCTGAATAACGGTCCTTGAAAGGCTTTCCTTCTACCCACAAAAAAAAAAAAAAAAAGATTTAAGATTTTTTTAAACAACTAAATTTGTTCTATGTAAATACATGAGATATGTGAGCTTGTGAAACAACAACCAAACACACAATTTATGAATTGATTTTATTTTTTGTACTTCCAAAAATGAACAATAAATGGTAATTGGCTGTTACTGTGTAAGAATCTAAACAAGACAAAACTACTGAAAGGCAAATTCAGTTATCGATTGCTTATTTACAGAATCACTTCCATACTAGTAAGAAACCACAGCAGGTCATAAAGCATCATAGTCATCCTCATCTTCATGCTTCCTCTTAAGAGAGGTTGAGTCACTAGATGAATTCTGTGACACCATATTGGTAGTAATGAGGATGTTCTTGGAGCCAATGAGAGAGGGGTTGATGAGGACATTTTGAACTGTGGGAGTGGTAGGAGTAGCTGTGAAAACAAATTAAATCATTAATTTAATGAGGTTACTGCTATGATTCACCACATGATCTTAAATCTGGCATGTTTTTATTTCTCTAAGCTCAATAGCTTAACTTTTCATCTGCTCACTGATTTGGCACAACATGTTCCATATGGTCCTCAATACAAAAGAAGACCACACAAGAAGAACTACTTATTCTAAGGTAGAAACTTACCTGATTTGACAGAGGTAGCCTGTGAGGAGGGAATCTGAACTGTAAAGCGCTGGCCGGTCAGTGACACAGGCGTCCCCACTTTAGTGCCCACTGTCTGCACTGATGGCGTACCTGCAGTAAATACAATGATGATCCTTTAAACCTTTAGATTTTGCACTTGTTCACCAGGGAGAAAAAAAAAAAAAAAGTAAAACAACTAAATGCTCCTCTTGTAATAATGGAGATTAGTGAATGTATATTGAAAATTGTGTGCATGCAAACTCTTGAAATGCTTGAAATCTTTGAGTATACTTATAACTGACCAAGAGTTGGAGTGCTTGGCCTACTGGACACTGCCCCCACACTTAACCGTGGCACTGTTATCCTGCCCGCAGATGAAGACACCTAAACATTCAAATCAAATCCATATCAGACTGTACATTCTGCCATACATTTTAATTTACAGCTGTTTGTATCCTTTGAAGAACCCGCATTCTCACAGTCTAGAAAAACCTGGATATGGAGATGAGAATACTGAATTTCAAAAGTTTCTATTAGGCTTAATATAGTTAAGTGAAACTAAAACAATAATAATAAAAAAAACTTATTACTTGAAATAAATATTAGCTGAAATTAAAGTTTAACTTGATGTATTAAACAACCACAACTGAAATACAAATACAAAAACTACACAGACATCAGCAAACAAATAAATAAATAAAGTGACAAAACAACTAAAATGTTAACATGAAAATAAATAATATAAAAATCAAATTCAAAATATTAATACACTATAATAGCATCTCAATGATACTAAAATAACACAAGTTTCTATACCACAAAAGGTCAAGGAAATTAATAAAACAACACATGCATATTTCTAAGGAATATACATTTGTTCTGCCAAGCATTATATTTTATCAGGAAGAAACTGTATGTAACATACACACACTGTAGGCTACTAAACAAAATAAAAAATCTATCAACACTTTAAAGACATTAAAGCAGTTTTAAGATATTTAAAAATGTTTGCTGCATTGTTAAAACAATGCTTCTTGTATAAGATTGCGTTTTGAGAGTGAAAAAAACAGGCTAAGTCACGTATAGGCTCACGTCGCATTTTCTATATACGTGTCTGTTCTTTTACTGAACTAAATGTATTTTATCTCTATAAAAAAATCAAAACGATGGTGGGGGTCGGTGCCGCGGTGGGCTAGTGACGTAACCGGTGCTGCGGCTTAACACCGGTATCACCGTCAGCACCGTTTATCGCGGCAAGCCTATTTAAAAGTAGCCCAATTCTGTGGAAAAAACGCGGACTTGGCAACCCTGCATCAAACAAGAGCTACCGGAGTCAGCTTTGACTGATCACAGGTCGAGAATAAGGAGAGATGACTAGTGCGTGTGATTGCGAAATCGAAAGTGAAAGTAAACAGCGCAAACGCTCATTCAAAAGTATTTAAATACACCGCATCCGGAGAGCGGCTAGTTCACGTGCATTTTCTCAGTCGGGAAATTATTTTTCACATGCAGTGCCAGTGATGATGATGCTTCTTACGTCCGTTTCGGAGTCCAAAAACGGACCGAATTTGCATGCCCTGCTGTAAATTTTGACCGGTTGATGAAAACAGGCTTATGTGGATTCTACACATTTAAACAATTCCGTGATAATTTTGGTCACTATAATTGTGATAAGAAATTTTCATACCGTTACATCCCTAATATATATACACATCAACACAATCATGAAATTCACATGAGGGTGGAGGAATTCTAATACAGATTTTGCAACGCGTTCAAGATCATGTGAATTCGCTGTGTTGATCAACAGAAAATTAATTGATTTTAAAAAAAAGTTACTCTATCTGAGCTGTGCTTTACACATAAGATTAATATACTACTACTGACTATAGACCATTTACCTTTTTGCTCACAAAATTAGCAAATGTGACCACACTTTAGCCTGTACATCACAAATGACTGGAAGAGTCATGTGAACTCATTGGTAAAAAGAGTAGGATCCACTTGAGAACCATGCGCTACAGGTACAATAACAGCAGTAATACATCACAAGACCTTGTTATCAGGTATCACTAGGTCATCTAATCCAAATTTTAGATCCAAACTACAAAAACTGTATATTATCACATATTATTTAAAATAATACCTTTTTCTGCAAGGACTTCAGTCTGTAGTTTGGTGCTGTGAGACAGTAGCGGTCTGGTGGAAGACGTGGGCCTGTGTATGGTTTGATCAGTGGCAAAGGAGTTTGGTTCTTCTGCCTTGCAATGTCCAACAGAAACTGAAACCATGGACCAACCACCACTACTAATTATCAGAAGTCACAAATGTGTTATGCATTAAGAAAAACACACAAGTCAACAAGAACAACTTACATCTCGTGGTGGAGGAGATGTGAATGACTGATCCACTCGACACTGTATTGCTAACCTTATATCATCTGCATCCACATTGGACTTCTTGGCATGGGTGGAATATATTTTTGCATCTTCAATAATAGTCGTTACGTATCCTGAAAAAAAGAAAAAAAAAACATCAGACAGTGAATGCTATTGGACGACTTACTAGTACAGAACAGTAACAGATGGAGTTTGTTAAAGCATTTTACAATATGTTAGAGGTTTAAAGTCATCTTGACTTACTGTATGTAAACTCCAGCATTTGATTGATCACTCTGGGCTCGTACTCCGTGATCCCCATGTCCTTAAGAATCTGCATCATAACCTTTGAAGATAATAAAATAAAGTAAAAAAACTGCACAAGGAAAATATCATGCATATTGTAATAGCTGCATCCCTGCATATTTATCAGCAAATATCTTAGCTTAGCTAATATATTTTGTTAAAATCGCACCGCATTAAAAATCTATTACAGTGGACCTGTTAACGTTAGCGTGGTAACGCGTGTGTGCATAAAGAAGAATAAGACGAGTAATATACACAGTCGCTCTTTAAACCTGCTGCTTTATTCGCTATGGTTTAAACACAATAAATATTGCACAACACGGAGATAAAACAGTTTCTAAAGCATTATTTACCTGCGCATCTTTAGGCACTGTTTTCGGAGACGCCATTTTCACATGAGTTCTAATTCTCTTCTTCTTCTTTCCAGTTTAACGGCGGTTGGCATCCAGATTATTGGTGCATTACCGCCCCCTTCTGCTCCGGAGTGTGGATCAGATAATAGGTTATCTATTCCCTTTTCCCACTAAAACTTACACATCACTCACACTGTCCCCTCACATTAATATCCACACACACACATCATACATCAAATCCTGCTTAAAACCCCTGCTTCCCTTAAAAAAGTAATCAATATTCTACTCTGTGCCCTATTTACTGTGCTTAGTAACCCTTGTAATGTGATCTCCTGCACCCCAATCTCCCTTAGTTTATTCTTCATTACCTGCTTCTGTGTTTCATATCTCTTACAAGTCATGATTATGTGCTCAGCTCTGATTCTCCTCCCTTTACTCGGGTCGTGTTTCAAAACGTAGTGCGCTTCTTCTTCTGCTTCTGATGTTTTTTTTGGCGGTTTTGGCAAACCAACTTAAAGGTGCATTACCGCCACCTACTGATCTGGAGTGTGGAGTGAACATAGATTTGGTAGAAACTAGAAAGAAGGATACATATAACAAAAAAAAACAAAAAAAAACGAACGAAAAAACTACCACAATTACAATTTATATTCTTTCCATATTTCCTGTCTTTTTTAGATAATTGAACACTTCTTCTTTAATTCTTGATTGCATTTGTCTATTCCCTAGTAATATCTTGAGTGATACTTTATCATATCCCATCAAACCTAATTTATGATTAAGTTGATTTCTTTCTCTTTCATACGCATCACATTCTAGAAGAATGTGCTTTACTGTTTCTGGATTCCCACATTTATCACATCTTCCATTTTCATGCTTCCCACTTTTGTGTCAAATTTAAAGCTGAATGTCCAATCCTCCTTCTTGTTATAATAACATCTTTCTTCCTACTCCCACATCTTATTCTCTCTTCACCTACACACCCCTGTATCTGGTAAAGATGTCTTCCTTTTATTCCACTATCCCATATCTTTTGCCATATCTTTCTTACTTCAACTGATAATGGTTGTATTTCTTCAATTCATTGTAGTGCTAATATAATTGCTATTAATTCTGTAGTAAATACAGACATATGATCTGATATTCTTTTGGCTATTTTTATTTTAAATGCAGGGGTATATACTGCTGCTGCTGTCCTTCCAGATTCAGGATCTTTCGACCCATCCGTATATATCTGTAACTGTGAATAATATGCTTGATTTATATACAGTTGAACTACTATATTTACGTAGTGAGCTGCCTACCTAGACAGCATTTTGGCAAACTTAGGCGGTGCCGAAGCAGAGCAGCCAATCTGGATGAAGAAACCTTGAGTGGCAGAGACAAGCAGCCAATCACAGAGGGATAATCAAACACTCAGCAAACTGTCACGCGCCAAGTGAATCGAGCAGCCAATCAGCAGCGGCTTAGACACGGGCCCAAAATGTAAGCACGTACCTGTAGTGATAGGATGTCTGAATCATTTCCGCGAATCGTTTCTTTCGAAGAGTTTAATTCAGACCCGATTGAGAGATAGCAAAAACTGCATCAAGTAATTCCGCGGCGTATTACACGCGATAAATTACGTTTCGTTACCAGGCATTTATTGAAATGTAACGTGTCCATGTTCAGTTTCTTATAACCACGTTTCAACTGATAAAAATAAGGTTATGTTGAGACTAAATGTAATTAGCATTTATATTAAACAATATTCAGATTAATTTCCATATTTAACGACATGCTATTTAGAAAATTCCTTTCTCTTTAATGAAGTTGTAAACATATTTCCAGTACGTTTTACTCTTGACACTTCTGCGATTCGCTGGAACCGATTCACACTGATCCGTCAACGAATGTTCAACCAGTTAATTGAAAAGCTTCGACTCAAAAGATTGATTCTTAAACGATTCGTACATCGCTATTTGAGACACAACCACTGGCCATAGTGATGCCACATCCTCCTCTATATAAACAAAAAACACACTAGTTTATTCAAGCTGAAGCTAGCCACACACTACAGTTCCTCGTTGACCGAATACATAACATTTGTCAGCCCATTTACTGTAGATTTTTTCCCCCCATGTAAACTGGGAAACATGGCTTGGAAGTTCTCTAGCTCTGCTGTGTTTAGTGATGTTGAAAGCTAAGCTGCTCTCTCCTGTCGTATTAGGGTGAAAAACGTTCAACATCGCTTAACATTTTATTTTTTTGAACGTGTCCTCAGTTCGATGTGACTTGTGATTCGCTGCTAATGTGTTTACGCGTCAAGTAGTCTTCAATTTTATTATTAATAGCTTTTGTGGCACATCAGTGTGGATTGCTAACTAAACCATTAGCCACCCAGTTACAGTATTTATCTGTCAGTAGAGTCACTCTGGAACTCAAGTCCCGTCAACAGACACACCAAAAGCCTAGGTAAGTGAAAAAATGTGAGAACGCTAGTTAACCTCTAGTGTGTTTCATATGGATAATATTTTATTTGATATACTGAGACTGCGTTATTAGCCAAAGCTAGCTCTGTAGATGTAGTAGTGGCAGAAATCTTATAGACGCAACACTTTAGTGTACTTCTAAAAAGTGTTTTTGTATATACTTCAAAAGAATATACTTGTGTTCTAACTGAACGTAATGCTTTCGAACGCTTAACTACATGTTATTTGCATTTAATGTCATTTTTATTTAAATTTGAATGTCATATATTTAAATATATTTGTAATTATACATTATTTTGTAATATATTGACTTATGTAATATTAAATGGCACACTACAGGTAAAAGTTTAACTTTAAAGTAACTCAAGTACGGTACTTTACATGTGCTTTAAGTATGTCAGTCAACGACATAGTCATGAAAGTATATTCTCTTAAATCACACCTAAGTGGCGTTTTATTTTATTAATATATTACCTGCAAGTACAGCTCTATTTATTTATTTGTTTTGCAATAACAGTGCACAATAAATTCAATTAATCAGACTTCTTTCAGTTTTCCTGGATGATACTGTGTATATCTATCTAGCTGTAATATGCCTTATATAAACATTTATATGCTTATATTTATAGTGTCTTTTTCTACAAACCCGTATAATCATGACTGCCATGCGAGTGGATGCTAAGGTGGTCATGCTTGGCAAGGAGAGTGTGGGTAAAACCAGTCTGGTGGAAAGATACGTACATGGCCGGTTTCTTGTGGGACCATATCAAAATGTAAGTATGTGTTACTTAGCATAGCAGCCTCTAGAAGTAATTAGTCCATTAGAAGTAGGCTAATTGACCATTTTCTGAGATTGTTTGTTCTCATTAAAGATATTTTTGTGTACAATGTAAGTTTGACTGGCTATCAACAATCTCTAATCATGCGCCACATACTATAAACCAGCTCCACAGGTAAAGCCACCTTCCACGGATGTCAATGGCTCTTTGACGATGACCTGATATGTGTTTGTGTGTGTGTATATGTGTTTTTTAATGAATTGTTTTTGTCTGATTAAGACTATAGGGGCTGCGTTTGTTGCGAAAGCCCTCAACGTCGGTGACAAGGTGGTTACCCTGGGAATATGGGTAAGTGTAGTTACTTGGGAATTTATATACGCTGATCAACCACTCATTAGTGACTTCACATGTTTCCTTTGATCTTAGGACACTGCTGGGTCTGAACGCTATGAAGCTATGAGCAGAATCTATTACAGAGGAGCGCGTGCTGCCATTGTCTGCTACGGTATATCCCTCTGTTGCATTTTGACAGAAAGTGGTTGTTTTTTTTTTGTCGTAAAGAAATACAAAGTGCAGCATGTACCAGCTCGGTCTAGCAGTCAGGTGACACTGAGCAAGGAAATAGCTCATGCTTGCTCACTCTGTGTATAAATCACAGTAGTTACAAGTCCTGCTAGGCAGTTCATGTGTTTGATTAAAATAAGTTAATCAGGGGTCCTCTGGGGTCCATGTAAAAAATTAAAGAGGCCAAACAAAAAAAAACATTTTTTTTACTCCGTGTTTTATTTTGTTTTGTTTTATTTTATTTTTTTCAATTCATATGATGTTACGGTTTAATTCTACATGTTAAAGATTGGCCCAAAATTTTACATTTATTTTATTTTATTTGGTTATTTTAATACTATTTTATTATAATTTATTATAATTTATATATATGTTTAGTTTTTCTTAGATATGTAATAATAATAATAAAATCTGGAAACAATTATTTAATTTTGTTGTTATAATATCATACTTAATATTTTTCTCATACACTAAATGTGTGTGTGTTTTTTTTTTAAACACTACCATTCAACAGTTTGAGTATAATAAAACCATTAATAAAAGTATTCATTTCTTAAAAAACTCCAAACTTTTGAACAGTAGTGTACATGGAAAAAATCAGAAGAAAATGAGCTCTTCCACAAGTGAAAAAGTTTGAAAACATCACATTTTCATTCTAAATTTGTGTCTGTTTTTCACAATCACACTTAGACTTGACTGACAGCAGCAGTTTTGGAAGGGCCAGGTTCTGGGTGAAGGAGTTACAGAACTGTGAAGAGGTAAAATAAACCCACGTCTCACAAAAACATGAGAACAACTTCAGCACAACTTTATGGACACATTATTTTATTTTCAGCACTGCAAGATATATTTGTGTGGCACCAAGAGTGACCTCATTGAGGCCGATCGAAGTGTGCGGCAAGTAGACTACCATGATGTTCAAGACTTTGCAGATGGTAAGTGTGAATTTAGCTGCTTTTGTTTTCTACAAAGCATTGCAACAAAACAACATTAACTTTTAACATTTACAGAAATAGGTGCACAACATTTCAAGACCTCCAGCAAAACAGGAAAAAATGTTGGTAAGTGATGCTTCAGTTTATCTGCTCTGTTGAGCACTGTTTTTGTGTAACGTGCAATTAGATACCGAGAAGTTTCACTTCTTTATTTGTTTTTTTGTTTTTTCATACAGATGAGGTGTTTCAGAAAGTGGCTGAAGATTTTAGTAGCTGTGCTTTAGAATTCATGCAAGGTGAGAATTTGCTGCAAAGTGAAACACTTATTTTACACTTTACACCTGGGTCTGTGTGTTTCAGGAACATGGCTTTTCAGGCCCTGTTAACAAATGTAGCACTCACTCTCTCAGTTACTTGTTGCTTCGCATAAGCATGAAAAGTACAAATGTTTGTCATTACAATGACAATAGATGAAGCAAACTGCTTACAAGAACCATCTTTGTGAGGAAACAAAGGTGCACCCTTTAGCATTAGCAGCCCACAACAAATTTCTTGACCTAAACTATGCAGGCTTAATAGTGCCTAAAGCTGCGTTAGTTTGTTTTGCTATTCGGCCCGAATCAGTTTTCTAAAGTGTTTTTGAAAAATCGTATACCCTGCATTTAATAGTTATTTCATAACCGATTTCTGTCCAAAAACAGATGCACACATGTTCATGTGTATTTTTTTTTACAGTATTAATAGGAAATCATAGTATCTGCTCTTTTTGCTTTGATCAATAATGGTACAGAGTATTTATTAATTTCTAAATCTTATTTTGTTTATTGTCCACCTTATTTTTAATGTAAGGGCATATGCAGCCAATTGTAACGTGAATAGGCAAGGCTTCTGGTGTCATCTGCTGTCAGTTATTTTACTTTTATCACAATTATGTTATGCTGATTTATAATGTAAACTGGTATTTGTTGTCGTGTTATTTTAATATATTGTTTTACTCATAAACCCACTGGTTTGCAGCTCAAATAGTTCTACTGTTCGCTGCACTTTATTCTTCTTGTTATTTCCCTATAGCTGCTAATGTATCAGAAGTCTCACACATTCAAAGACAATAGCTTACTTCTGTGTTGCAAAATACAGTGGATAGAAATATTAAGATGATGATGCATCAAATTCTGAATGCATTTAATAATATTAGAAATATAATTGATACAATAATGTGATATTGTTCCTATTTGGATTTATTTCTCTATTTATTTTGGTATTGTATCCTCACAGAAGAGAAGGGGGTGGATCTTGGGCAAAAGAAGGACTCTTATTTTGACAACTGCTGCCATAACTGACCTATCACAGGAAAAACTGCTGTATCATATGGTCTATTTTGGGATGACTGGAGGCTCACCATCTTTTATACTCCTCAAAGCATCAGCTGGAGTTTTTTTTTTTTCGCTCTTTCCTTTTTTCTTTTATGATTTTTTTTTTTTCTGGTGTGCAGTAGAACATGAAGGATTCCACTTTTTCCAGTATTCAAGCAATGAACTCTTTTTCTTTATCAAGAACATGTTTTTTTTTTTTTTTTGGACCTGAGAATGTTGACTGAAGCAAATATTAACAGTGCATGGCAATCCGTTTTACCAAAAAGACAAGACACAAAGCAAGCTTTAGGGACAGATTTCATTGCATGAAGGTGATCGTTGCCAATTTTCACAAACAATGCCTCGAGTGATTTATCACCTTTTATGATTTAAAGTGTCTCCATTTTATAGATCTTTTGAGGATCGTAATGTTTACACCCTTCATTTATCACACTGCACTCATGTATGAACAATTTAGTTTCATATGTCCACACTAAAGTTTCAGTTTTCACAGATCTGAGACCAGTTCAAACATTTTTCTCATAATGATAAAGATTTAGATGTTGATAGAGTGGAAAATTACATAGTAAAAGTAAAAGGCAGTTTCCAATTAATATGTTCTTAAATTGTAATGAAGCTGAACAATTGATGTCAAAATGTCAAAGGCTAATAACCATAGTTACTTGAGGCATTTATAATATCATGATTAATCTGATATGCGGGAGTATCAACTCAGCAACAACAACAACAACAAAAAACTCAACTCGTGTTTGATAATGGAGCCCATAGCTTCCTGTATCCTGTTGTCCATTATTTGCATATCTTTACCGTGTTCCAAAAGCAAGTCAATGTGCAGCATTTGATGAATGTGATGCTAATGTTTACAATGTTATTTTTATTATTATTTAATTTTACTTCAATGCAATTTGGGTAAGGTATTGTAAACTGGGACACTAACTTGTCAGTTGTGAAAATGTTTGTGCATACTTTGTACATACAGACTTAGTTCACTCTGGGTTCATATTGTGCCTGTATTAAATACTGCTCAACAAGGCCTGTAGCTAAAAATATGCTTCTTGTGAAACTTTGTGTCATTCCAGAGATATCCTGATATTGTGCCATTTTCGCTGGTTGTCCTACAGGAAAGAAGGACAATATTATATTACTTTGTTACATTTTACTGTGAAATTACATTAAAAAAAAAAAAAAAAAAACATAAGGATGTGATCTTAAACAGCTGTTGCATATTTTGTTTAAAGGTATCAAAATAGTATAAGCAAAGCAGACCAAGTCATTTAAGACTGAAATGAAATATCAAGCGTGTGTGCAGCATGCTTGAGTAATAACCTAAATTTGTGGATTTTTTTCTACATGTCATATTCATCCTTTGCTGCCTATTCTTGCTTGCCCTCATATCAAAGCTAGTGTTTCTTTTCTTTTTTTTTTTTTCTTTTTTAAGAAAGTAAGGTACTCTCTCACCAAAATAATATTACCATTTAGTGTACTACATCAGAGGACTAGAATTAATTGATTGAATATTTTGAATTTATCTTGAACAAAAATATAATGAAAACATTAATAAAATCTTTAGCCTAGATTGCATAGAAATTCAAGTCAAATTGTTGAATGAAATTATCTGAAATGGAATCAAATTAGAAACTGCACTTTCAGGATCTTTTGCACAAAGAAAATAAAATTAGTTGCAAGATTTTTGCATGAATTTCATGACAATTGCCCCAAATTCTCCATAAAATTACTGTAATGCAGAAATAAAATGATCCTGTCTGGATACAACAACAATTATTATTATTATTTAAGCTTTTATTGTCAGCATATATACAATTAATACTACCATTATGTATACTTACAGTTTACGATATAAATATAATTGTTTTGTGTTACAGTAATGACAAGACAATTGCATGTGGAAATGTGCCTAATTGTCATGCAATTAATGTTGCAATTCAAAACACTTGAATTATCCTGAAAATAGACTTCATTTTCTTTGTACAAAATATAATTTGCTTTTATTTTGGGGTGAAATATCACCCAAACATGTGTTGACAGTTTTTGTGAGATTTACAGTTCTACTCACATTTCATTAATGCAATAAATCTATTTGAAAAGTACCATTTTGATCGCACTATTTACAGAGGTGGTAAAAACAGCAGCAAAGAAGCAACAAGTGTGCACTGTTCTTTATTCTGTACAAAGCACTACAGCACAATTAAAGTCTCGAACAAGGCAACAGATTTTTTCCTCTTTTGCCAGAAATTTGTCTGAAATATACTGAAGTGGAATGACTTTTAGAACAGCATTAAAACTATTAAGTGCAATTATATACATAAATACATTTTAAGAAAAAAATTGAAATGCTGTTCATTATGAAGAACACTTGATCAGTTAGATGGGGGGTGAGGAAAACCAGCAGAGAAATTCCAGGAGTGTAGACATGCAACAAACCACAATCATTTGTCCTATACGTTTAGCTTCACAGAAGATTATTAGGGCTTTAGTTGCCAATTAGTGTTTTACACTATATGGTTACAGTTCAAATTGTATGTTGAACATTTTTTAAGATATCAGCCTTTATGGAAAATTGAACATGAATTCACTAAATGCCAAAGACTTGACTGGGAGTGTTTAATTATCAGGCTTGCAAAGCCTGTCATCTTCTTCCATATAGATTTAATGTATAAAAAATATATACAGCAAGATAGAACAGACTCATCTGACTAGTTCAGTTAAGAGACCTAGTACATAGTTGCACTTTCTCAATGATTAGAGCAAGTTGGGGCAGGACTTCCTGTTTTTTTTTTTTTTTTTAGTTTTGAAACTGCTGGATGCCACAAGTGTTTAAAAAAAACCACACAGTTCACCTTTAAATTCACAGCATAATTTACACCAAAGATATTTTGGGAATATCTGTCTGTTCAGTGGATATGATCAATCAGAACACTTCCTTTGTAGACTGCATCAAGTTCTTCTGGATGTTGTGCCAGTTTGGCAAAGATTAATTCAAAGAGACAATTCTGGGAATTTCCTAAATTATCTCAAATAAATTATAAGCATACTTGTAAATATTCTACTTTTGTCTTAACATATTAGCAGGCAAATTTGGGATTATAATACAAAAGTGCTTCAAAATGATAGTCTTCAAGTTATTTAAACAGTTGGCTAGGATATTTGAATCTTATTAATTACGATCACAATCTACTGCACTCTTAAGTCAAAAGCAAACTTCAGTTTTGATGCAAATGCTTAGCGTACAGCCACAGCCTTTCAAAATGAACTTCATTTGATAGCGTACATGAACACATGTGCACTAGAATTTTTCATTTTTGTCTAACGTCTGTACTATTTCTCTCTAGAAACGCTAAAAACTCTTTGTATAATTTTAAATTAGGGTTGTGTGTATCTTTAATCCCCTGAAGTCTCCTATGCTTCTTTTTTGAAACAATGGTTTAGCCCAATGTTGCCACCAAATAATTAGTAATGTGCAAGTTACAAAAACTGGTCTGCACATGTACAGTGCATGCGTACTGTGCAGATGATGAAATTACGTGATATGCACTGTATGCATATAGCCTTTGCGTAAAAACCAAAGTATACTTTGGGCTTTAATAAATTGCCTGGCCAAAAAAAGTCGCTGTCTGGATTTAAATAAGCAAATACTTAAGATTTTAGGATTTAATTATTATTTGAATGATTAATATGTTTCTGACATGTTATATGTTTGGCAACAATTCTTACCCACAGGACTCTGTGGTGGCCAATCTTTCACAATTTGGGCCCAATGAACCTTGACATCGTCATTCAGGAAAATGGACGTGTACGTCTTTTGACTTGGTTGTTTAAGAAATAAAAAGCTGTGCAGTGCATCAGTTAGGGTTTAAAGAACTGTTGCCAAACCTACAACATGCCAAAAACATATTAAAAACAGCAATAATTACCCAATCATAGACTCTTCAGTATTCCGTAACTTTTTTTTTTGACGAGGAAGTGTATATGAACCACTTACTCAATAGTCAAATTTCCCCTAAGCTTATATTCTGTACCATTCGCTCACAGAGCAAATATACAGCACAAATCCAGTTTTGGTAAATGAGTTTATAGTCATTATTATTTGACTTGAAGAAGGCAATGGAATTTCCAAGGAAAAATATATTCCCTTCCCTAAATACTGTCTCTTCATTCTCTTCATTGTTGCTTTTTTGGGATGTTCAACATATTTCATATTCCCAGATGTAGCAAGAAAAAACGTAGCATTGGCTACAGTCTGATAAAGTCAGTTCTATTTAATCAGTGTTTGAAACCATTTCTCCGAAAAACATTGTCATCTTCGTCTATCTGTGTCCTCTTCATCAAAGGACACAAAGAGGACACAAATCTGTGTCCTCTTCATGTTTTGTGTACCATCTTCAAGTATGCTGTAGTGAAAAGTTGATGTACATCAGATAGCCTCAGAGCATGGCTATAAAGAGGTCTGTTGGGAAATGTAAACCTCGGGTCAGTTTGCTTCCATAGATTAAACCTTCATACTTCGGTTTTCTTCTTTATCCTCAATCGTTCCGAATTATCTTGAGTTACGCTCTTCTCACCATCCCCTTCTAATTGTATCAAACTTTCTTCCTCTTCTGCGTCGTCTTCTCCATAGGAAGAAATTGGTGAATATGCACAGTTTAAAGAGATGTCAATTGGAGGACACCTGAGGGACACCTGAGGGACTGCATCAGGGGGAGAGGAAGCCTGCGGGACAGCCGTAGTGTTTAGGGTTGTGGATTTGGTTTTGGCAGCTCTGATGAAGTTTATAGGGTATGTTGTCTTGAGTTCCGGGGGGTATTCCCGGATCTCGCCAGGCTCCAGGGGCTCGGGGCCGCAGGGGTCATGCTCGCTGCATGACAAGCGGCCATCCAGTTTGGATATAAAAAGCATGCCATCTCGATGTTCGACACAATAGGAGCTAGGGCACATCTCACAGAAGGAAGCTGCTTCCTGTCCACACAAGTCACACTGATGCCAAGGACACTCCCAACGGCCTAAAAACACAAAAAGTTATTCACTGATAATCTTCCCCTCCAGTGAGCTGTTAATTGATGTTGAGCATCATTTTGTCTTCATTTACAGAAAATATTAACTTAAATTTCATCTGTCCTATGATTTCACAACACATAACGCACGATCATGTATGAACTTCATTTATTATATCACTATTGACTTTATGGTCAGTGAGTGGTCCGTGTTT